TCCTTTCTTTCTCTGAGGAGACTGGTGAGGCCCCGCCTCCCTTGCCTCTAGTGACTGCACGTCCCTGAGTACACACGCTACATATATGTTAAACAAAATACATGTGTGAGAGGGAAGATCTAGATAAATGTGGCCTGTAAAAGTTTAATGCAATATAATTTATCAGACCCCCGCAATGGAAACTGCTTTTCCAGGTACATTTGGCTACCATGTTTCTCTAACTCTAATTTATAAACATAAGTTCAATTAAATATTTATCTGATATTGTGTAAATGTTATGCATTCATAGAGTGCTACATGAGTTGCCTTCTCTAGTGATTTTATAAAACATTGTGCTTGCCGATTCTTCTACTATTACTATTGAGTAGGAAAGTTCCTAGAGTAAATAGGGATGTTGAAATAAAAACAGGTTTATGTGTACACTGACGTCCCTCTGCTTGATGTATCAAATAATATTTCAGATGATGTAGTAAATTTAAGCAGACATCAGATGCCAGAATCCCAATCAATGACATACTATGTAATATGTCTCCTAAGATATCTGTTCCACTTCCCACACCCAACACAGAACATGGCACTGAAATGTAAGCCCTGATAAATTCTGTTTTTACCAGCATATAGGCCCACATTGAAAGCCTGAAAGAAAGTGATCTTTTTCTCTAGTTAATTAAAATATCATTGTCTAGTCCCATAGTGTTATTTTCACTTATCACAAGTGACCAAGAGAGTCTCTTTAAATCATACACTTATTTGCATGGAAAAGGCACAAAGAAAAATTTAAGAGTTTAGTATCTTTACAACTGTTTTCATTTTAAATTTTTTTGAAGGCATATTATTTGATACATGTGCAGTCATACAGGAAGAACACTGAAGGTATAATTCTTTTCGAATAGGTCAGTACAACCCTATATAGGGTAGAATTTCTTGCAAACAGAACATGTTGTTGTTAAAACCACATCATAGCTGTTCTTATTCTATATCAGTGATGGGCAACCTTTTTGGCATGGTGTGTCAAAAATCGGCAAAAAATCGAGCATGTATCAAATAATATGCCTTCAAAAAAATTTAA